CTCTTAGGTTGGGGGCCATCGCTAGTAGGTTGGAGGCCATCGCTCTTTGGTTGGAGGCCATCGCTAGTAGGTTGGAGGCCATGGCTCTTAGGTTGGAGGCCATTGCAAGACTTTTGGATGTCTTCTGCTCTTGACCCCGATCCTATCCATATCCTATTCATTTTACCCATATCCTCCCATCTGGTTCTTGAGTCATTTCGATCGGCTTCCATCGAGGCCAAGGACTTTGCGGTCTCCGCCCAGATGCGACGTGAGGCCGCGGCGTAGGGATGAACTGCATCATTCAACTAGTACGCAGGTCTGTCCGCAGGTCCTTTTTTTGGTATTAGTCCTCAACAAGTGTTTTGTTCAATGTACCGGTATATAGTGGTCTTCTTTTGTGCACTTGTGCAGACATTGTCCACCCAATGCTGGAAGGCGGTCACGGGCATGGCTGATATATATTTAACGAATAGTTCAACGAATTCATTTCAGTACGCTTCTTGTTCGTAGTAGTACGGCCAGGAGCCCCGAACGTAGCATCCGAACGCTCCGTTCGTAGCGATGCCCTTTGCTTCGAACGTAGCGATGCCCGTATACCCAAAGACTCCATGGGACTGGACTGACTGGCATGGTTTCATGAATCCCTGTTGTGCTGGATGCCCTGTTTGACCGCTGAAAAAGAAGAGATTCCTCCATAAGGGATGTCAACCTCCCATGGTTTGGTGGGGGAGATTGGGTTCTTCGCCACACAAATTCCAGATGACGATCGGTCGTGAACACGGAGCCTGTGAAGGAAAACCGAACCAGATTGCCGTATCTTTGGAGAGACTCCTGCCATGCTACTCTCAGATTCAGCGGAGAGATCCCTTTAGACATCTTTAGACTATTCAAAACAGAGGGAGAGCCTGAGTTTTTCTCCCAATTGGATGAACAGGCTTACCACACAGGTCAACCTAAGGGTTTGCAGCTCCAGGTTTTGACCCACTGCCATATGGCCAGTTGGGGACGTCTTTTTGAGCCTCGGTGAGCCATGTGCACACGTAAGACAGACACTGCACACGGCCGAATGAATGACCATTTTCGCCTCAAAACCACTCGAACTACCGTGACTGGACCCCAAAAAAACATGGTCCCAGGACCTTCCGACGAGTGTTGGACTCGTCCCATTCGTCCCAAGAACGCAACTCCGTGTGCATCGGGAAGAGCACCAAGTGCACCGGCGTTTTGCACCGGCCGAGACGCCCAGGCCAATGCGGGGATCGAGTCTGCCGAGCAGAGGCTGAGTGACATCGACGCTCGATCCACCGTGAAGGGCCGGGACAAGGGCCTGCCCATTCCAACCGTGGCTCGTCACACTTGTCCATAGTGCATCCGAAGATGTTGTGATTTTGGGGGCATTTATATATTGTAATATGTATATATACATGTAATATAGTAATATACATTAACATGCTTTTAACATATTGCAGTACAGTGTCATAATTTGTATCTTCAAATTGGCAGTTTGATTTGACCCACAAACATGGTCGGAAAGTTCAGGACCTCCATGCTACAAAGGATTCTGCTCTATCCAACTGCAGCTTGCAGCTACAGAAGTCCAATTTCACCACTGGTCAAGGGCAGTTTGAAGTACTTGCAGTAGATGCTACCGAGCCGGCAAGTTTTCAAGTGTGAGCAGGGCTCGGACCATAACGTAGTCACCACCCGTTCTTGAGGGCACTGGATTCTTCGGTTGCATCAGGTGTTTCTACATGAACCAGGACCCTGTTTTGTTGAGAACAAAGGCGCACGGCTCACGCAACAATGTGTCCGGACATTGAGAAACACGTCTTGAGAAACTATACTTATTGCACTTCTGGGACTATTTCAGCAGCAGCAACAAATGTCCAAAAGCATTCTTCTGACACTCTTCGGCAAACCCAAGGTCCCATTGCCCCTTCTTCCGAAAAACCTCCGAGCCTTCAAAACTGCAGCTCTGCAGCAACGCAACTCTTCCCCACAAACTCTTTTTGCAATGCTAGAGGGGGAAACTGCGTGTATCAGAAATCGGGGAGCATCCTGGAGCTGCTTGGAGGCCATCACCTACTAGCTTGGAGGATTTCATTCATGAACTCATCTTGGGCCGATTGTTTGGCCGAGGATACTCAGCTGCAAGGGCTGGAGGAACAACAGAAGCGAAGCAGCTGGTTTCTCCTCTTCTCGCTGATGCAGGCGAATTCGCTGATGCCGACTCGGTCTCGCTCATCCCGCTCAGTCGGAGCATTCTTTAGACGTTTGATGGCGGAGCATTCTGGTTCGGAGCATTCTGGATCGCACCAAGCTCTACCGGAGGCTAAACTCCTGTTTCATGGTCACACGAAAGAGGCTCTGAAGTGATATTCTAGACCTATATTATTTACGAAGAGAGGATGGCAGCCACATGAGCCGGGCTTGCTCAGCCAAAGACATTTTTGATCATTTTTGTTTTGGGGATGTCAGTGAAGTACTTCCAACGATACGGCGGCCGGCCCATGTATGTAGTAAAAAGGCTAGTTATTTTTGTTCATGGCGTTAACCATATCCAGCAGGTGAAGCATAACCTATAGGAGAATGTGACTAAATTTCAAGCTTATGAGATAATAAGACGAGCTTATGGTGTTTCCCGAAGATCAACCAAGACACATGTGATTTGCAACCTTAAATTCACTCGGACTCAGACGTTGATCCTTCATCTTCCCAGCGCACGGGACCCTGCCATGGAGGGGCAGGAGGGAACAGCCACGGAGGAGGCTCCGGAGCAAGGTGCCGGAGAGGCCACAGATCAGGGTGTCCTGGAGGAGTTTTAGGGTCCTTTTCCGCTTTTCAGCCAATGCAGATTTAAATAGTGGCGCCCTGTAGCCCCCTGTATTCGACTGTACACCCTAAAGTAAAAAGCTAATGTTGAACTATGTTGGACTCTATATAGTACATAAGTTGTTGAATGCTCAGCTAGGGTTTTGGACCAAACATATGGGCCTTTGGCAGGTTGTGGGTAGGTCATCGATAGTAGGTTGGTGGCCATCGCTAGTAGTTTGGAGGCCATCGCTAGTAGGTTGGAGGCTATTGCTATTAGGCTGGAGGCCATCGCTAGTAGTTTGGAGGCCATCGCCTTACAGGTTCTTTGATTTGTTTGTTGCTTTTTGTTTCATGTCTCTAATTCTAATTCGAATTCTTTTTGTTGATTTGTTTTGTTTCAAGATTGAATTGACTTTAATTCCAATTCTACTTGAATTCTTGTTTCTAATAGCTTCTTAATTGTTACTAAGTAGTAAGGCCAGGAGCCCCGTTCGTAGCGTTCTTATTAGTCCCAGGACCTCCGAAGAGACCGGTGAGCCCGACGGCCCGAGGCGAGGCCGACCGCGAGGACAACGGCGAGGAAGGTGCCTTGGAGCGCCCTTCGCGGAAGGCACTCAAGCGGAAGGCGAAGGCGGAGAAGTGCTTGGAGTGGAAGGCACAGCAGAAGGCCAAGAGGAAACGAGGAGGCCAGGGCGTACGCCGCTGCTGAAACGGGTTGCTGCTGAATGGGGTTGGGAGGAAAACACGTGGCTCGATCACCTGGGAGAACACTTAAGTGTCTGTGATTCGTCGGCGTGTGACACACGTCGGTGATGTCGGCCGGTGGGCGAAAAAGATGTTGGTCGGTCGGGTGTGGATTCGGTAGAGACCTGTTTGGAGTGTTTTCTTTTCCAGTTATTTTTTCTTCCAAGACCTTTCTTCCGCCACTCCGTTGGTTGAGTTATGGACCTTTCAACCTTTCATGGTTTTTCCCTTTCGGACTTTTCTCTTTGACCTGTTCTTTCACGTCACAGTGGTCATTCTTTCCGAATGGTTTTTCGCCGATTCCCAACTCTTTCGTCTGCACTGATGTCTCGGGCCGAAAGCCGTGGTGTTTAGGCCGACCGCGGGAGTCTTGTTGGTTCCCCTGGTGGCTTTGGGACTTTTTTTTTGACTTTGCAGCTGTTCGAGGTCTGTGACCGCCAGCTTGGGTGGCTTTGGGAAGGTTGATGGAAACTGGGAGAAGGCACCGCAGGAGCGGCATTTGCACCAATCCCCACCAAGCAACTATGGAAGAGGAATGAATTTGGCAGGACCAAGCTTCAGTCTTCCAAAAGGGTGGTCCTAAAAGAAGTTGTACTGTCGGTGAGACAGGGAGAATGAGGTTAATTATTGTTTTCCCTTGGTGGTCTTTTTGGACCGTGCTGCTAAATGCCTTCTTCCGGGTAAAAAGATGGTGCAGCAGCAGAAGATGCAGGCGTCGGAAGGATATAGGTTGCTTAAAGTTCCAAAAGACATTCAATATCATTTCAATTGTGCCACCCCAAAGCACACCCCAGTGCCAAACGGTCGCTCGGAGGCCAGCGCCACAAAGGGCCCCCGCTGCCGCCCAACGGCGAGAGCGGCCGCCCGGAGGGCGAGGGCCCGACGCAACGGCTCGGAGCGGAAGAGGTGAAAGCGCAGCGGCTGCTGCGGAAGGCGAAGGAACTGGAGGACTTCCGCGAGAGGAGTGGGCGAGGCCGGAGGTCGGGTGAGTTCGGATGGTTCGGTGTGAAGTAGGTTGGAGGCCATCGCTAGTAACAAGGGCATCGCTACTGGTAACAAGGACTAGTAGCGGCGAGTAGCTATTAAGGCCATCGCTTTTAGGTTGAAGGCCATTGCTAGTATTGAGGAGACTTTTACCGGAGGCGCGGGAAACCGTTCGCGATGCTGACAGAGGGGGGTTTTAGATGGACATGGGATGGACATACCGGCGAAGACACAGCAGGAAGATTCATGATTCTTGAGGCTACTAGGAACCAGAAACTACCAGGAGCAAAGGGCATTTCTACTAGGAGCAAAGAAGCTATTAGAAACAAGAAGCTACGTTCGGGGCTCCTGGCTTACTAGTAACAAGTGCCTTACTAGTAGTAACAAGGAAGGTATTAGAAACAAGTGCATCGCTACGAACGGAGCGATCGGACGCTACGAACGGGGCTCCTGGGCTCGTGTGAAGAGGTGAAGATGTTCTTGGAAATCCATAGAGATGGAGGGGGGATAGGAGGGGATCGGGGAAACAACCTCCTGTCCTGGGAACGTGTTATTCACAGGTTACAGGAGGCAGATGCTTGTATACATTACTAGGTATCCTCTTTCCCCTCTCCTGCAGTATGTTGCTGGAAGTCATAAATGATTCAAGGAACAGGTCGTGGCTGCGTTAGGCGATTGGATGTTGATTTCCAAGGCACTACAGTTCAGGATGTTCAGGTTTTTCTCGAACTGGACATGCAACGACTTGGTGATGGAAGTTGAAGGTCAGGTTGGCCACCAGAGACGATGCTGCGGCGCCCCAGGTACCACGGTGGTTTTGGACTTGGAGTGGGAAGAGCAGATGCAGCCCAAAGAGCTCAAGAGTCTCATACAGCAGGCAGCCATATGGGGGTTTGGAGAGATGGCGATGGGCGCTGGGCACCTGAAGTTGGGAGAATCCAAGCACTTTGGCGGCGCCAAGCCAACAGCTTGCTGTCCGGCTGCTGCTGGCAGTGTGCCGGACCTGAAATGGGCCAATGCCCATTCCACAAGGTCGAAACCACATCGACACCGTGTTTTGTGGCATGCAGTGATGCAGATACAGTGTTGTAGTACCGTCAGCCGTCTTGCGCTCTCACAAAAGCCTCAGAATTCACAGCTTTTGTGCTGGCTGCACAAGAAACCGCGCTGGTCGCGCACTGGGTGGTCGGGTTCTTGTTTGGGAACAAACCAGGTGTCGTTCGCTCATGGCGAAGACTGCAACGCGAAAAATCTCCCGAAGTGAAGATGCTGATCGGTAAAGCCGTAATAGATTCGAACAGATGTTTCTTAAGGCTAAGACCTATGCACCTATGTCCCAGAAGTCCAAACACCTAAGTGATGGGCTGGTCAGTCAGTTGTTCTCGCAAACAAGAGCCAACCTCCTTGTTTCAGATTGACTTACAAACTAAGAGGCGCCTGCAGAGTTGGTGGTCTCCAATTTGCTTTGGTATCGCCGTTCCTGGTGCATCCTTAGGGGACATTACTGGAAGAAATCCCGGAAAACACCACAGATAGACGATCTATTGGCATGCTGGTTGAGTGGGTTGGGGGTTGGTGGGCTTCCCCTTTTCCCTTCTTTTGTGTCAAAGCCTGGCCAACGCAGGTGCTCTACTGCTATGGCGCGAACCGCAAATCCAGCCACCCCACGCGGCTGGTCTTCTCCGGAGTAAAGGAAGGCAGCAAGACCTACGAGGGCCTTAGCAAACAGTCAGGACCTGAACTCCGCAACTCTGATCAACTCTGCAGCAGATCTGGACAGTTCGACGTTCATTGCGAAGTAATCGATGGAGTTGAGTGCTGATACTTGTAGTGGATGCAAAGGCATCATGACTAGATTTGTTCGCCTTAGCATGTATATATAGTTGCCACAGATCAGGAGTCGGATTTCTTTGCTCAACTCCCAAGCCCTCGTTTACTCGCTTTCAACAGGCACAGTCATCAACCTGGCAGCACCCCCGTTGTCTCTCCACCCATGTACTCGACCATGTGTTCATTCAACGTGCTAGTCGGTGGCATCTTACCCGCCGGACCTTATTTGAGGGCCCTAGTGTTCTTTGGCCGACCGACTGCAAGCAGAGTCGGTGAGGATATGAGTCCTGGGAAGTGCAAAAGCTCTCGGGGCCTTACATTGAGGCCTTTCCCAAGGAGAAGGGCTTTCAGAACGAAGAAAAAGAACAGAATGAGATAGGTTGGAGGCCATTGCTATTAGGTTGGAGGCTGTCCCAGTCTTGCTGCTTTGTGCTGAAGCATGATTTTGGGGGCAGCTGTGCAGGGCACCCTCAATTGGACAGAGGATTCAGACACTTTGCAACACTTTGTGGAATCTACTTCTATCCCCTTGGAGGCCTACTGTTGGGGGACGGCAATTGGTCTTTTTTGTGACCCAGACCATGCGGATTCTTCTTCATCCTGTTTCGTTCGAACTTCCGTTCACGGACCCCGTTTCGAGGAGAAGCTGATCTACCTCACGGCAGACGCCCCGGAGGTCTTAGACACCTTCGACCCAGAGAAGGTTTATGTGATCGGACCCTTGATCCTCAAAGTTCTACTTGTGCCGGGTGGCATGATAGATATTCCGAAAAAGATACATCCTCAAACTGCTCAAACATGTCCGAATCTTTTAAACAAGCCTTTTACTTGGGCTCGAGACCGGCAAGCCAGGTGAGTATGGGTCAAAACATGTCAAGAAAATGCCCTGGTCTATTCAGGTTGCAGCCGTTCCTTTACCATCCGCCATGTATCACATATTTACCTGCATTGAGCCGGCTTCTACAGGGATCAATGTGGGATGATGGACCAGGGTGCCCATTCCTAGCCATGTGGAAATCCCCCGTGATAGGCATATTATATATATATATTGATCTCCAGTCCTATGGCGTGTTTGGGCGGACTCTAGAGTCCATCAGCCCGCCCCGTGCTTTCCGCCAGGAGGCATCGTGGACCGGAACCGGCTCAAAGGCGCCAGCATGGCCAAGGCCTCTGAGCAGCAGATCGCTGCGCAGCAGCTGCCGCTGGCGAAGTACGTGGAGATGGGATCCTACTCGCGGGTGCTCACCGTACCTCGGAAGAATGAAGGATTGAAAGGTCGGAGGCTGGGAGGTTGGAGGCCATCGCTCTTAGGTTGGATGATTGAACGGTCCATGCCTCCGGTCCAGTGTTGCAGCTCATCCCTGAGGCCCTAGGGCTCCAAAGGCCTAAGATGGGGCATTCAGGAAGAGTCACCAGGAACTCCAGAAACCTCGGGAAACACCCGGTATCCGACCTTTGGTGCCGCTTGGTGCCGCTTGGTGCTTCAAAGGTGAACAAGGGTGAAGTACCATGTTCCAACCATGTTCCATTGATGCTGGGGCACCCACACGATGACGGCAGATACAGATCGGACGGAGGGTGTCCGTCCTTGACGTTTTGCTTCACCTGCCAAGCAAGCAAGGTGAACCACGTGGTCAACATGATTTTGGACCACCAGGCCACCAGCGACTGGCGCGGAGTCTGCGAGCGCTGCGTGCCGGGGCGGAAGCACCTCAAGGCCCTGGAAGAGGTTGAGGCAGCGGCCGACGTGGAGTCAGCGGCGGATGGAACCGCATTCGACGACCGGGGCGAAACCACCGGCTGAGACGGAGAGAGAAGTGCGCATGAGAAAGCGTGGAGAAAAGCGTGTGTTTCTTTATGTTTCGAGGTCAGGGAGTGGAGCAATTTGGTGAGACGAAAAAAGAGTTCCGCCCTTCAACAAGTGTTGTTGCCGCCGTTGCTGTTGTTGTTGTTCTTCTTGTTTGGAACTTTGGAACGATGGAAATCCGGGTATTCCCAAAAACTCGAGAAGGGGCACCTGATCTATACGAGAAATCTGTTGGGTCACTCCCTTCGGTCGATGGCTGTCCAAAGGGTCCACGTTGCAAAGATCGACAGAGTTTTGAGATCAAACCATCCGCGAATCCGCTCTCAAAGTTTTGGGGCTCCCTCCGTTTCTGAGCGCTGAGATGTGGGTCTTTGAAGCGGAGAACTCTCAGGTCTGGTTCTCCCCAGGTCGCGTCTCGGAACAGCTCCGCACATGGCTCCGCCACCGACAACACCCGGCTCGGATCGAGGTGCTGAGAGGTGAAGATGTGGAGGGTCAAGAGGTGGTCAAGTTGCTACACACCGAAGCCAGTTGAAGCTACAGATGGACATCGACATGCTTAGCACCAAGTACCTGGATCTCTCCAACTGTGCCATGTTCACCTTTTCATCAAAAAAGCCAGCCAACAGGCAGACATGTTGCACAGTTGGAGAAATCCAGGTAGACCCAGATTGACTCCATGCCACGATTCTTTCCTAACTAAAGCTCCAGGTGAACCACCGTTGCGCTTTTAATGTGTGCATTTGTTTCATGCTTTTTCATGGGGTCTAGCTTGGTTTCCAATCAGCTAGAAACAGTATTTGGCTCCACTCGGTTTCCTGATATGTGCCACTCAAGATGTTGACTCAGGTCGAGAGGATAGTTCATCTCTTCTTTCAATGATTTGCTTCCAGGCGCAGCCCGTGAATCGGATCTCCCGCTTGGACTTGGGCAATTGTGGGCTCCATGCCACCGGCTTGGACATGCTGCAGAAGGCCAGTCTGCAGAACTTGGGGCCACGAGGAGAAGCACGAGTTTGGGCAGGTCGATCGAATGAGTGCTCCAACCCAAGAGCAATGGCCTCCAACCTAGAAGCGATGGCCTCAAAGGTAGGGACACCGACACATGAGACATTGAGAAGCACCTGACGCATCCCAATGGGTACGAAGTTTTCCCCCAGTGTTGTGGAATGGAGGGTCCAGGGAAGCATCATTTGGTGGCACCTGGAGTGTGAGAACGAATGGATTCCCCAATAAAAGGTATACATGCAGATCCTTTCCATTCCTTTCCTGTCATTATCCATTTGTGGAGTTGACGAATGTAGACTCTAGATCAATCAACCACCCATGTTGAAGAGGTTGTTCACTTCAAACGGGGCGAGTTTATATTATAATCAAAAGGTTTGGGTGAAACCAAAACGCTGCTCGAACGCTGCTCGAGGTCCTTCTAGATCTCGAACACAGAGGCGAAACGCGCGCGAAAAAGGGCGCGGGTGCCGAAGGTGGGACTCTCTCGGTGACGTGGCGAACTTCGGTGACATGGGCCTCCAACCAAAGACCGATGGCCTCCAACCTCCTCACAAGGAGGAGCCCCCAAGTTTAGGAAAACGAGTGGAAAATGACGTTTTGCAGAAAGACACTTCCAAAAGAATCCAAGGATGCGTCCCAAGTGGAAAAGCAAGCATCCAGCCAGGAGTGTGGAAGGGCATCCTCCGAGCGGATAGATTATTCATGTTTGGTGGGGAAATCCCCACCGCACCGGACCTAGCCTACATATCTCACCACAGTGGATGCTTTTTGGCCACCTGTTATAAGGTCCCAACGCAGTCTCCCAACGCCATTGTCTCCACACTTACGAACGATTCCCAAAAGAGAAGTTCAAAGAAAAACTCAACACGACTGACTGCTGACTTGGTTTTTGGATGAAGACACGGATTGGCTAAGGTTGGAGGTGTGTTCACGTGGCTCGGACTGGCAGGTGATGGCCTGGCAGTGGAAGAGCTGGTCTTGGACGGCGGGGAGTCCACAAAATGGATTCGAAGACTCAGGGTGTCACGAAATGGAAATGAAATCTGAATCGATCGGTTTGACACGATCGGTTTGAGTGACACGATCGAAGACTCTGACTTACGGTGGACAATCAGCAGTGAAGAGAGATGAGACCTTGGGGGAAGCACAATTGTATGCTGTAAATTAAAAATCGCTCTTAGACTTGTAGTTTTGGGATTGTCCGTGTATGGAATGTGGAACTTGAAATTCATGGAATGTGATATCAGCGTTGTCTTCACCGTCTGATTGTGCGATCCTGACCTGCACAGAATTGGGTGGCGAACGGTTTGTAAAGACAACGCGGACGCGTTGGAACACGCGATGGTTGGGTTGGCGACCTACACGTGGCCGAGGTTCTTCGTTGGTGCCACCATCCTAAAAGCACAACACCTTAAGTTCACAGATTCAGTTCGGACGCTGAACGTGGGTGCGCATGACCAGACATCATGATACCACCGCGTGTCCGCGGGTGTCCGCGGGGTGTCCATTGTTTGAGCCCAAAGGGCGCCAGATCTTCCGAGTTCACCCACCATGCGTGGCCTGCTGTTGCCCGTTGAAGATGGTTGAAGGCAACGAAGCAAAACACATGGAAACGTCGCGTCGTCGCGTCTGCGGGACGTGGTACGGAAGATCGGCACCGGGGGGCCCCATAACGGGAGCCCGAGGGAACGAAGACACGAAATAGAGAAAGAAAAGCACACATCAACACAGTCCACCCAAAGGGATCCAGTCGTACCTACTCGGAGGTGCGACGGAACCATGTTTGGAACCTCCTAGGTATTCAGAAGGTGCGACGTTGCTGCAAATTCTTGAAGAAGTGACAGCGATGGCCTCCAACCTGCTCAAACTCTGGCGGGTGTGGATCCGCGATCAGCCCACCTTCTGCGAGGCAACGATTTTGGAGACGCGGGCACCGTGGCCATCGCTTCGTTGCTGCGGCTGTCCTCAAAGCTACGGGCGCCTCGGCGTCGGTGCAGTAGCTGAAGACCGCGGTATATAAGTAAAGGAGTGTACAGGGAGCCAAGTGAACATGTGCCTACCAGCATCTTCAAACGGTCGCCAATGGAATCCCCTATACTAATCTCTACTACTTAGGGATCGCCATAGGACACCCCGGACACCCCAAAAGAAGGTCCAGGTGTATAGAAATAGAATGTTCGCTGTGCTGCATGAACTTGTGGCAACTTAGGTCTCGTGACGTTCTAAGACTTTGAGACTCACCCCAAACTTGTGCAAGGGCAGTCTCACGGGAGAACGGACGATTCTGAAGAAAGCGAGTGTCAAGGGACTACACCCCAAACTAGATCATTCATGAGAATTCAACATAGTTCAACCAATTTGTTTCACTCAAAGATTGGCCATCAAGAAAAGCAAAGGAGTGGTCGAGGTTCTTGAGGTCTGTACTGTACAGGACTAAACAAGAAACGCCCCCGCTCAGCCAACAGTGGCGCCCAACACTGGGGTGGCGCCCAACGGAGATGAAGTCGACTGGACACCACGAAGCAGCCAACGGTATGTTCCGGTAGGTAGGTGGTAGCAGTGTTCATTCAATTCCCTTTGTTGCTAGTAGCTTCTTGTTCCTAGCAGCAAGGCCAGGAGCGCCCCTACTAGCGTTCTTGCTCCGTTCGTAGCGATGCCCTTTGTTAGGTGGTAACAGTGCTCATTCATGTTCATTCCTAATTCTCCCCTCTATGCTCCTGTTCCTGTGTGAAGCTTGGTGGTGAGGGAGAGTTCCATGTGACAACGATCCACAGCGAAAAGAGCCGAGGTTTTGAGGCTGCGGAATGTCGGCATCACCGATGGAGGACAGCCAAGAAAGAATCAGGAACACTTGCCTACGTAGTTGGGCGGTCTAGGGTTTAAGGGGCAAGAACGATCGGTTCACCGTGAATGCCACAGGGGTTTTGGTCCGGGCTTCCCGCTCTGTTTCGATGTGATGCAAGCCTGGAACTGGAATCTAACAGAAGGGGTCCACCTTGTGGTTCTTCGGCAGAATGATTCTGCATGTCTATTTTCCAGCCCCAGCTTCAAGGTTTTAGGTCTTTGTGCTCGACTTATCCTCATTTGGTGAATCTAAGTCCACGGGAAATCAGCGTTGGAACTTCAAGCAATCTCGCTGCTCCACCCGCAACGGCGCTCAAGAACCTTGCAAACCCGCACGCATGCGCGCGCGATGGCACGATTCCGGTTCTGCTACGGGTCTTGGTCCGGCGCTCTGCAGAGAACGGGTGATGAACGTTTTGGCAGTTTTACATGAACCGAACATTCATTTGAACACTCTAACCAGATCCCTGCGGGCCCTGCGGCTGCGGGCCCTCGGCTTTGATCGAAATCACAGGATTCTCGCAGATGATCTCTGCCATGGTCTCCAACAAGAGCTGGGGTCCCCAGCCAGTCCTCTTGCAGGGAGTGACATGTGTGAGCAAGAAGCTATTAGGGGCTCCTGGCATCGCTACTAGGAGCAAGGACACTACTAGGGGCTCCTGGCCGTACTACTAGGAGCAAGAAGCTACTAGGAGCAAAGGGCATTTCTACTAGGAGCAAAGAAGCTATTAGAAACAAGAAACTGTTTTCATTGGGTCAAAAGAGTCCATCGACGCCACTCCACTCGACGCCCGGGTGCGAGTGCCGATGCCAAACACCTGACTGCCCGCAGTATGCGATCGAACGTGTTGACCATTTGCACAAACACACGAAGACCACAGGACCGCAGCTTCTTCGAGGCCATGTGCCAGTCATCCAACGTTGGCTTTACGGTTGAACATGGTCGAACTGCCCATGCCCCTGATTCCTTCTGATGTGCCAGTCATCCTGAGCTTCCTGTTCCAACGCCGAGCCTCGAATAAATGGTCTTTCTCGTTGCCTCGACGAGTGTCGTGCACCGACAAGTGCGCTGCTTCGTCAGCAGTCTTCAGAGATGCGAAAGGCTGCTTCGTCAGCAGTGATCTTCGGTGAACATGGAACACTACACTTAGACCTCGACTGAGACTTACTGCAGAAGCAACACATGAGACAGCTTGAGCGTTGGGGTACGAGAAACTACGAAAGCAGAAGACAACTTCAGATACATGAACCATGAAACCATCCAAGGGGACCACAACAACCAGTCAACAAACCAAAGCAGGTACGGGTACGTCTACACCTCCCTGTTGTCCGGTGTTGGTTTTGACACCAGGGAGTCCCGGCGATGTTTCTGATGTGTCGAAAACTCCTAGTGACCTGCCATCCAAGAAAGCCCGGGAGCATTCTTACTACTAGTAACAAGAAGCTACGTTCGGGGCTCCTGGCCTTACTACTAGGAGCAAGGACGCTACTAGAGGCTCCTGGCCTTACTACTAGGAGCGTTCGGACGCTACGAACGGGGCTCCTGGCATCGCTACGAACGGAGCATTCTTACTACTAGCTAAGGGAAAGAGCTCCTGATCCCCACCAGTGGTCCGAGTCGTGGACATGTTTTCGCCGTCCTGTGCCACGGCGTTTTCCAGTTTGCTATTGGGCTGGAGGCCATCGCTATGAGGTTGAAGGAATTCTACTTGAATTCTAATTGATTCATCTTTAAAAACTCGAAACTGCTGTGTGTTGCTGGTGAGGCTTGGTACTCCTCGATCTCCGTGGCAATGGCCTTTGCTCGTGCGACACTCAGGGCTGCGGCTATGGTGGACACCACACAATCTGTTAACATCTGTAAATTATTGTAAATTTGATGTTTCAAATGACCAGAGGGTTGTGTGGTGCAACAGCAAACATGCACGCATTCCCTGTAGGACACACATCACATACCTACATTGAGGTGGTTTCAGCAGTCGATGTATATCCAGAGAGAGAGAGAGAGACAGAAAGTGAGCTAGACTCTAATGTGTTCCATACATGGAGTGTGATGGGTTCATTCGCGGCCCATAGCCTTTCAGTGATGGCTGATATTCTCGGAGTTTGTCAAGACAAGGGATGAACATAGCGGAGCTTAGCAAATCCATTTTGGGACACTTACAACATGCAGCTGTTCTCGTGGGGCCCCTATATACTTTCTAATTGCACATGACCTTTTAAGCGGAGGATGGGACGCATATTGTTTCTGCCCCACTCCCGGAAATTGACAAATATTTGTCAACCTTGATAAAGTAGACAAACATGTCCTCAAGACCTCCTAGGGGTGCTGCCTGTTTGCTGTGTTTCTGAAGATGCGCCATCGTTACTGCTATACTTCTATAGCTGCCGCTTTTGGCCAAAGAAAACGAGCTGCGAAAGCATTGCGAAGATCTGAAGGTTGGAGAACTCCAAAATCGCTCTGCAGGGACTTCGGCGCTTCAACACTGTCGTGTCTTGGTTTTGGGAGCTGACTGAGACTCTCTCCGGTTTTGGCGTGGGAGACCAGTCAAAAAATGAACTGTGAGTATATAAATATGAGTACCGTGGCTCCTAGTTCCTTTTTCATCCTTTTTCTAATACATCTCACTAAGTATGGGCAATGAGCTCCTTTTTTCAGCCGGCTTGTCCTCTTCCGGCGGAAGACAGGCGTCGAACGAAAGGATGAACTGCTCCCGGCACATGATTCACATGATCCCTTGCTGAAAGGGAAAAGAACCATTCCTGCAGGAAACATCCCGAACACCTTTTGGGGAACAAAGAAGAGCTTTTTTGGGAAACTGTTTAGCAGCTTGCTGGCTTATTAACATCCTCAATGACTCGGTTTCGAGAATCCGGAGGAATTGGCTTCGTCCGGTCGGGTGTTTTGGGGTCGTGTATGCGTTGATGCACCAGGAGTTGAACATCCAAACGGGAAGGGGCTTGTTTGGACCATCATTCAGAAAATGCAGTGCTGCTGATGTGTTCATCTCTGAATGGATGAACGAGATGCACCTGAGACATGCTGGCCCTGGCACTGCATCTAGGAAGCACTCTAGGAAGCAACATGTCCACAGAACTCAGCTGGGGGATTTACATGGTCTCCAGGATGTTCCGGGGCCCGCGGGAGCTCATCAGGCGTTCACGTCAGATTCAATGGCTCTTCCCAAGAAGGGGTTTCAGAGAAAGGCATGCAGCGCATGCAGTACTTACTGAACTTTGTTGGAATCAAAACTCCACAAACTCCAAGCACAAGGACCCTACTAGGGGCGCTCCTGGCTTTACTACTAGGAGCGATCGGACGCTACTCGGAGCATTTCGGGCATCGCTACGAACGGAGCGATCGGACCGCTACGAACGGAACAAAGCTCACCGAAGACGGACTTGTTTAAGCCATGTAGGCATCCAATTCGGTTACGGAATCCGAACACGTGACCGTCGAACGGGCTTCCAAGGAACGAAGGAACGGCGAACGGCCGCTCCAGTTCTGGATACACTCCCTTTTCGTATCATGGGGGCCTCGTGTGCCATCCACCACCTGTTGGTGGAGGATGGCATCATCCTGTAGACTTCGGCATGCCATCCTCTTCGATGATTTTAGAGAGTGTAGTCACCCAAAACTCCAAACGACCAAGGCCTTTCGGCCTGCCCGACCAAGGCTGAAGTCCTCTTGGAGTAGATGCATGGTGAATTTGCCAATCCGAGTGTCCGAGTGCATGAAAAAGCTGGATGCCTGGGATTGGTGCTGTTGTGATTGACTCTCTTTGGAGTTTACCATGGACCTGCACTCCATGAGATATGCAAGTTAGAATGCTAGGAAGGAGGTCAGAAGATATGCCAGATAGACTGCCTGTTAGAATGCCAGAAGATATGCTCGATAGAATGCTAGAAAGTTTCAGAACATATGCCAGACGGAGTGCCAGACAGGATGTAAGAAGATATGCCAGGTAGAGTGCCACAGTTAGAGTGCAGAAGGGATGTCAAAAGGCCAGGTAGAATTGAAGATGAAAGGATGGCAGAAGACATGGCAGTTAGAACGCCCAAAGCGTTTTGGCAAAGCGAAATCAGGTCGCGCGCGGCACGCGCGGCCGGAGGGAGGTCACAACCGAATCTTCCGGTGTGTCACGACTTGGTTGGGAGTAACAAGGACGCTATGCGAGAAATGGACATCGCAAGTAGGTTGGAGGCCATCGCTACGAACGTAGCAAGAACGCTATACTAGTAACAAGGACGCTATTAGGCGGAGGCTGCCATTGTCGCATGTGAAGAAAATCAGAGAAGTCTGTCGTGAGTCAATGGCAAAGTAATGGAAAGATATCGAATGCCTACGATACTAAGCCGAGACATGCGGCAAAGAGAATGTTGAGGCTTCGAAATGCTTCAAAGCATCATCATCATCACCATCATCACGAAGCTGGATTTACCGATGAGGTGAAGAACCAGACGATGTAACCAGATGCCCTTCATGACAGAACCCATGAGACGAAGCGTTTGGCGCCGTGGTTTTTTCGCTCCCACAGCGCCAGGCGATCAACTCATTCACACACTGAAGGTGCTACCTCCTCACTGTGCTGTGCGGTTGAAACATCACATGCCTAAGAACCACAATAAAGAAAACTCAGGCGGAAGATCGATTGCATTCATTCGCAGTAAAGAAGATGTTTGTTTCTCCTTCTCGAGGCCTTTGTGGAAACGATTTCCGCTTTTCAGGTTATTGGATGTTATTGGTACTCCTGCAAATTGCATTCGATGGTCTCCTTTGAGACATTTGGGCAATCGACAGAAGGGGTTCTCTTCTTGGTGGAATTTTACCAGCAGATCAGGTATTGAAGAATCAGAACTTGAATTCATCGTGATGTTACTCGAAGGCTCAATGCAGCCTTGCCAACTTCGACCAGTTTCTCAATGAGTGAACCAGTTGAAGGAAGTTTCCCATGGAGTTATCAACAAACATGGGCCATACAACTAGTTTCTGAAGAGACAAATCTCGAGGAGTACTCCATGATGAGGCCAGTGAAGTGAGCATACCTGGTTTTGTTTAAGATGATGTTGTTGTTTTTCTTCATGGATGAATCCTCTTCGTTTTTTTTCCGGTTCCTTAAGCAAATCCAAACGTAGCTACCAATATAGCAAGCAAGTAGCAAACCAACAGTTTGTCCTTCCATGGACTCGTTGCACTCGTTCACGTCGCGATGTGGAGCTGGACGTGAAGGCAGGCTTCGTGGTTTCAAGCGACGGGGAGCTTCGTGGGCAGCGCAGGAGTGGGGGGGACTTGGTCCGTGGAACCCCAATGCGCTGCCTACCTCGGGAGCAAGACATTCAAGAGGATCCGTCACCCCCACACCCACACAAGATGTGTGTTCGCTGAAACCGTGTACGAAAGGAGTTTGGGGCTTCAATTGGGAGGTCAACAAAAGCCAGGCAATTGAGATCCATCATGCAAGTGACATAGATCAAGCTCAGAATTTGAGGACTCTCTGGTGGACTCACTCCCGGAAATCGATGCCTTCAAAGAACCGCCTCCACCTGCACCCAAAAGAAGACGAACATGTCTAGAGATCCCGAAAGAAGGTTTAATGGATGTTTAGTTAGTGTGGTTGCACCTTTTTGTCTATTTTGCAGTGCTCACAACACCACCTTCTTGGACAATCCGGGGAGATTGTGGCGTGACCAATCTGTTCGACTGCCAGTCACGCGGCTTGCTCGCAGGATGAGTGGTTTGAATGCAGATGAGGCTCCGACATCTCGAGTGAAATTGCATGGGTTCAATTCCAGTTGTTCATCCCGGCCCCACAAAGCTTTGCAAAGATCAACATCTAAAGCCTCAAGGTTCGCAAGATTCATGATTTCAGCATGGCCGGACGTTCATCCCCAACCATTTGACCACGAGTTTGTTGGCCACGGAGGAAGTGGAAGCAACATTTGGCTTGGAATGGCCATGTTCCTATCAGAAGGTGCTGTAAATCACTGCAGAAGTTCCGAACTCCGCGCTTGGGAAATGTGAGGACATGCCGACTCTAGGATATTTTGTAGATCATCTTCGGGCTTTCGGCATGCCGAGATCAGAGCCGATCTGAAACAAGGAGCCCCTAGTAGCTTCTTGTTTCTAATAGCTTTTTGTTCCTAGTAGTAAGGCCAGGAGCCCCGAACGTAGCGTCCGAACGAACGGAGGGACTGGCTGAACTTCTTGGGATCAGCGACGTTGCGACACATCCGGTCTTTGAGCGCGCCGTCAGGGTGTCCAACGGTATATCCTTTCTGGATCAAAAGGGCATCAAGACTACCTTTCCTTTCAAGACTACCTTGTTTGGACTTTGATTGTGTTCAGCTGGTTTGCTTCTGGACTACGTCCTCAAAAAGACCTGCAACCAAGAGCATTCAGCATTCTTTTGTTTCCCAACATGTTCTTTTGCAGGGTGTCCCCTTCCAGTTCCTAATTAATATGGCCTTTGGAACTGGCCCCTTGGAAGACCAAGCAGTGGTTTTCAGGGATTTCACCATCCATTCAGGAGTTTATTCCCTACTGCTACGAGGCAGCCGTGCAGGGGGAGCAGGGCAGCCGGGCAGAATTGCATCTACGAGGTCACATGGGGCGGATTCTACGACCTTCATTCGTGTGGTGCGAAGGGATACTTGAAAAGACACTTGTTCGAACATGTTTGAATCGATACCCAGTGGCATGAATCGATCTGGATGTTTTTTGAGTCTTTCTTGGTTCACCTTCCAAGTCCACTTTGTCAAAGAAGTAAAAACCTTGCATGCATGACCCCCATTCCGTTGGGATGTGAAACAAGAGTTCTGAAGCTTTGCTTTGGGAACATGTAACTTTCACGACCTTTCCCTCAAGCAAGAATTGCCCCTTCCAGGGTTTGGACATTTCAGAAAGAGCTGCAAACGGGGCTGTCTTCAGCTCCCTTCCCAGTCGGAATCTGTCATGTTCAAGGCCCATCACAGAACACAGCTGGCTGCGTGGCACAGCGTGGCAGCAGCGTTTCATGGCTGGGATCGCGGCGTCGTGGCCTCTATGCCGGATTGGCCAAAGCGGATCTCCTGTCCGCTTGGGCGAGCCCAACAGCATGGTGGAGTCCTATGCTTCTGTACCGTTTTTAGCCTGATCGAATCACTGAAACAGTCTTCACGGCGGTGCGTGTCACACGCTGGTGAAATCAGGTCTGCGCCCGACGCAGTATACCACCTGCACAGGAGTTTGGCCGGAGTGAACCCTCCGGCAGCACCTTCACTCGGTGGCGGACGTTGAGTCTTCGTGGCGACGAGTCAGGACCTTTGGAGTCAATCCACATCTGATCCTCCCCAGCCCGGCTCGGCCCTTTCCCGTCCTTCCCAGGCCGTCCCGCTTCGTGCGCCCAACATGGACGGCTCCAGCTCGGCTCGGGATGCCCAGCGAGCGAACCGAGTGGGGAGATGCTGGAGGTTTGGGGAGGAATGGGTCGGTGGGGAGTTAGGAGGCGAAGATCCTTCAACCTGGTGGGAGTGGTTGTGAAACTGGCTGAAATCATCTAATCTGGATTTCTTGGGCGGGACTGATTTGGAGCTCAGTTGAACTGGATGTCTTCCAATGTTACGCTGCTTCGGGCAGGGTCCGAGTCACACGCCATTGGCTACTGCGATGGCCTCCAACCTAGAAGCAATGGCCTCCGACTTGCAGGAAACAATTGGGCCTCCGAGAGTTCTTAACAAAATGCCTAATAGCAATGGCCTCCAACCTAACAGTAGCTTCCACCGAAGAACGCGAACCTTGCTACGTTCGTAGCGATGCCAGTTTCGCCCCGAACGTAGCGTCCTTGTTCCTAGTAGGTTGGAATTCGGATCCTCTGCGACTCAGAATTCTGTGGTTGGTCTCGTTGGACCAGTTTTTCCTCAAGTTCAGGTGATTGGACCAGAGCTACCGAACGACCTTCAACGACCTTCTTTCGGGGTGTCCGACATGGAGATCCCTATTCAAGATATGTTCACATCCTCGAATCTCCCGGAGATTCCGAATACGTGGATTGTGGACGTTACAAACAAAAGCTGTTTTGCAATCTGGTCGATGCCGCCCAAGACATCCGTGTCATTCTCCACATCCGTCTTCCACATCGACCGAAGGGTCGTCGCAAGGCGTACGCGGCGGCGCTGAAGGAGACCGGTGGAGTTGGGTGCGACCGGTTGGAGACCAGGGGAAGCCCGGCGGATGGAAAAACGCGGTAGAAGCCTGGTTTTGGAGGGCTCTATAGCGCCCTGAAAATCACCTTCAATGCTTCTGCTCTGCTCAAACTGCAAGATTGCCAGGTTGACCCGGCCCAGCCGAGTTGGGCAGAGCTTCCGTTCAGGATTACCTACCAGCCCACACGACTTACTCGCTTCACACCCCACAGCGATGCCATTCCGACCTAAGAGCAATGGCCTCCAACCTAAGCACATGGAGAATGAGGTAGACTTTGACGCACCGAAAGTTTAGCAATAATCGGTCGATGAAACGCCCTGTTAAGGCAAGATTGTCTACGAAGACCATGTTTCAAGGCAAAATGGTTTACGGGGAAGGACCCCCAAAGTCCACGGTTTGGGCCCAGCCTCTTGTACAATTGTTAAGATGACATCAAGAATCAGGTAAAGAGCATGTTGAAGGTATTCAACATATCAAAATTGGTGCTGAAAGGCGTTTGAAAGCAGTCGGGGACCTGGTCTAAAGGCCAGGTCAGGAGTTGTTTTGCATGTGTATCTGTGTGGATTGCTTCTGGATGTTCAGGAGTTTGCAAAAGAACTGGAGGGTCAGAGCTTAAGGATGCTTGTTCGTCTGTCTGGCAGAACGGGTTCCGCGGTGTTCACCTCCCGCTTTAGGAGCGCCTTGGCAAGGTGAGGGCCGAAGTTGAGCTGCAGGCCAGGGGGCACCAGGAAGATCATCCTTCGGTTGGAGCAGGTATTAGAAGAAGACTTTTTGGTAAGCGGCATATATTTCATTGGGATCTTGGCAAGGAAATGCTTTCCGGTTCAACCGCGGCGGGATTCAAGACACGCGGCCAGGAACTCCTTTTTTCAAGTGTTTGAGTTGCAGCCCCAAACCGAAGTCGGTGTTGCACCAATTTCAAGCGTATTCAGATGTGTCTGGATTCGTTGCGGCAAGAGTTCGATCCGGGGCAAAGATCCTTTCATTCCCTCCATGTTCATGTGCTCATGTGCTGCGGTGGAACATGCAAAGCTGCAAATGTCCAGTACCACATTACTACTAGTAACAAAAAGCTACTAGGTTGGAGGCCATTGCTATTAAGTTGGAGGCCATCGCTACTAGTAACAAGAAGCTACTAGGAGCAAGGACGCTACTAG